TGTTTTGAAGTATAACAAGAACTACCGCCACCACGTTTGGTCTTTCTCCTACTAAATTGCTTTTTATTCTACTGCTTTATTACTTTGCTTGCTTACCTTTATTTGCCTTCCTATTTGTTAGTTGAAATAATGGAGTCATTAATCATGCATTCTGCCTATTCCCTGCAGTATTTTATACTTTATGCATTAAACTGCAGCTGACACACGTTATTGAGTTCTATAATGTACATAAATTACTAATAATTTTGTTTAACCCTTATGCAATGTCAGCCCTGCTGTGTACTTGTGTGTTGTCTTTAGAAAGACTTCCATCTAATTTTCTTTCAGACAATGTAGATCATACTAGCATGATCAAAAGTGAAACATGCAGTTAAATATGTGCATATAATCACCTCAGATTTTTCTACAAACAAACACTTATTTTTTCCTATCCTTCACCATGTTCACATCCCAATTGAAAATGCTTTCGGTGATGGACAGATTTCATCATGGGCACTCTGACTGGTCTGCACACCCTCTGTTGTGCAGAAAGACAAATAAAGTGCTCTGTGCAAAAAATGAGAAAAAGGAAATACTTATATATATTTGTAGACATATATGGTTGATGTCCCATAAGTATATTCTAAAATAACAAGCGGAAAGAGCAACACATAGTGTTTTCCTGTAATAACAGATAAATTAATAGTATGTGTAGAATCACACTCACAGATTACAGAGCCATGCCAGGCCCTGTATACAGTGCTCAAGGGTGCCTGTTAGGCAAAACTGGAGGTCTGGAATGGAACTCCCGGTCCCAGATGGTTCAAAGATGCAGCAATGGTGGTAAAAGTATAACTAATTTATTAAACATAAAATTATATAAAAACAAACAGAGTAAAGGAAGCTGTGTAAGGCAATTTGTCAAATCAGGGACAAGCAGTCCGTCTGACACAAATGAAGAAGTGTTTCAACTCTCCATGAGTTTTCTTCGGTGCATAAAAGTCTGTCCACCTTGCTGCTTTTTAAATCTGCCGCTCATAACTCAGCCGATCACATGGACGGAAGTTCGTCTGTTCCAGCGTCTGACGTCACTTCCGTTTTTTTCGGTACAGTTTTGTCATATCCACATAGGAGTTTCTATTTGCCCATCATAGGTATAGTCCTCCATCTTGTTTAAGGGCAGATATCTAATAATATTTGCTACCAAACAGGCAACACATTGTAAGGATATGAAATAGTTAACTCTTTTTGCTTTATATGCTTTAAATAATGTTTGAAATAATTATGCTGACTTGGCAGATGTATTCTGTAACATGCTCTGAGAGGCCTCCCTTCTACAGGATGTATGACCTCGCTCGACCTCAGGATGTTCCTGTCCCGTCTTTATTAAAATGCTTATCTTTTAATGTCAGACAAGTATGTACTATTAACTACAAAGAAAACGATAAATCTCGCTGCTTGCGTGACAAACTGTGTATAAATGCTAGCCCTGAAAATATACTCACTGAGAACTTGTTAAGCACTCTTTTGTGTCTGTGTCTTAATTTGCTAAACAAGAACTCCCGTCAATTGATGTGGTGAGCGGAGAATCGAGAAGAGTTGAGTCCAGAACAGCATTAACCATTTCAGCTTGGTGTCCAGAAGTGGGATCAGCAAAGCCATTGGGTAAGTAGCCTTTTTGTGTCTTATTGACGCTGATTGTCTATGACCCCCTTTGGTTCAGTAAGTCTGTATCCAGTAGATAGGAAAGGTGTAAGGACTTTAGTTATTTTGAGACTGTAAAAAGGTCTCCATTTTTTACTGGACAGTTGGTCTAGTATAGGGTTCTTGGTAACCCAGGTTAGTATCTAAGATAGATACAGGGTATCTCAGGTAGATACAGGTTTTAAGACTATAAAGGAGTCTCCGGTTTATTAAGACTATAGGTGTTCTAGGAAACACGGTTTATAGATCTAGAATAACCCAAATTTCTCGTTCCTCTGGTCACCCTGTGTCTGCTTTGTGTTTATTTTGCTTGTTAAGTAGAGACACACTATTGGTAAGTAGGTAGTGTCTCTACCCTGAGCCAGAAATATGGGAAATAATCAGTCTATTTCTTACCCTTTACCCCACTCAGGGGAGTCATGTCTAAATTATGTTACTAGAATAGGAGCACAAGGAGGATTTCTTACAATCCCCTTTGTGTCAAATTTAGAAGGATGGACAGAGACTATGAAGTCATCTGATCCTTTTCCCATGTGTGGGGCTAATGATGATTTCCATATGAATATGATTTGAGGATTGTGTTTGGGAGATAGGAAGGTTTGGGAGATGTATCCTGCTGTACCTAATGTCCCCTCAGAGGATGATATAGAAGATATTTATATTGCTGCAGCTGTTAATTCACAATCACAGCAATTACAGGAATCATCATCTACACTAGATTCTGATATAGAATATCCACCGCCACCTCCCGGTACAATTAAATTAACAGTATAAACGGGAGTTAAACTTAAAAGTGGCAAAGTGTTAAAATCATATATACATAAGCAAGGTGATGATGATGTAGAGATGCCAGAATTAGAAGGTGCTGATCTTACTGCCCGTTCATGACTGTTGGTAATCAGTTAATAATGAAACCCATTAATCCCGGAGTACTCAACGACATTAGTACGGGAGTTTGGGGCACCTTGAATAATCCCTCTGCATGCCTAATGTATCTGAAAAGAATGTACTTAGGACAGAACATGACACAGATAGACATACAGTTAATTATAAATGGAATATTAGGGTATGACTCAGATTCTGGTTGGGATTGGTCTAGGGTACCCTCTATCAGTGAGACAGACAACAGTACTGGAGTTGGAGAGGCTGGTAGTGATGGTGTTTATGAGCTTAGTACTTTAGCAGGATGTGCTAAAATGTGGGACGAGGTGGAAGCTGAAATGTTGAGATTATGGAAGAATATGCCGTCTATATCCACTGCTTTGGCATGTAAGCAAGGTGCAAAGGAAGAGATTGGTATTTTTGTAAAGAGAGTGTTGGAAGGATAACTTTAGAGCCCTGAATAGTTTAATCGTGCCCATTGCACCCATTGTCCCTGATGTGACATCCCTCACTACAGCCATTCCACATGATGCCACTTGCTTCACTGTCATTGATTTAAGTAATGCATTTTTTTTCTATACTTATTGATCAAGAGACACAGCTACTTATGGCTTTTACTTTTGAAGGCTGGCAGTATACCTGGACACGCTTACCCCAAGGCTATATGGATTCCCCAGCCGTTTATTCGCTGGTACTCCAACATACTCTAAAAACATGGACCCCCGGTCATGGTTCCATCCTTTTGCAATATGTTGATGATTTGTTGTTATGTAGCCCTAGCTATTAGGCAAGCACTGTGGATACTGTCAGTTTGCTCAAACACTTAGCAACTGTGGGTCACAAGGTTGCAAAACACAAAATACAAATGTGTAAATCAAAGGTTGATTACTTAGGTTTTGTTCTGGCTTCAGGCACCAGACAGTTGAGTCCAAAACGTATTGAGGTCATTCAGAGGATTCCTAAACCCACTACTCGGAAGGAGTTGCTCACCTTCCTCGGCATGATTAATTACTGCCGCCAGTGGATCCCTGAATTCTCCCATTATGACTCAATCCTAAGGGAGGCTGTACGTTCTGACAGCCCTGAAAATGTCTGCTGGTCACCAGACATGCTAGCTGCGTATATTGCCCTCAAAGTTGCTAGTGTGCATAGGACTACCTGTGTATTGTAAACCATTTCATTTGTATGCTTGGGACAACTGTAAAACCATGGCCGCGGTCTGTGCACAAGAGCACGGAGGCAGTATGCGTCCCATAGCATTCTTTTCCAAATTAGTTTCAGCTCCGGTACAGGGTATGCCGGCGTGTCTCAGAGCATTGGCAGCATGTGCAATGGCTGTTGAGACTGCTACTACTATCACACTAGGGCATCTTACAATACTCCATACCAGTCACCAGGTCACTCAGCTTATAAAAAAATCTCACCACACAACACATGACAGCCCAGCGCTTAAGTGGTTATGAGATTATTCTTCTTAGTACCCAGAATCTGTCTATTGTCTATAGTCCTGTTAATTCTGGTCCTATGTCTGTTTTGCATGCTATTCTCACTTCTGCATCTGACTCTGTGTCTATACCATCTGAGCCTCATAATTGCATTGAACAAATACATATTGCCACATCTCCCAGAGCAGACCTCTCCTCCACAGCACTCAGTGGCCCGGATGTGACCACTGTCTTTGTGGATGCCTCTTGCTCCAGACCAAATGACGGTACGTACCTCACAGGCTATGCCGTGGTACAGTTACCTGATAAAATCATTGAAGCTGACACTATTTTCCAGCCGTCTGCACAAGCTGCTGAACTCATTGCTCTCACACGTGCCTGTCAGCTTTTCTCAGGACAGCGAGTGAACATTTACACAGACTTACGATATGCTCATGGGGTAGTGCATGATTTTGGTGTGATTTGATAATGGCCCGGCTTTTGCCAGTAAGGTTACCCATGAACTTGCTAAATTCTTGCAAGTTACCTGGAAGTTTCATATACCCTATCATCCACAAAGTTCAGGGGTAGTTGAAAGGATGAATAGGACCATTATGAAAGATACTGCAGGAACATGGGTAAATTGGACAAAATATCTTCCAGATATTTTAGCTGAGATAAGAATGACTCCCCACAAGGTGACTAAATTATCTCCATTTGAGATTCTGATGGGACGACCTTTTCCCACACCCTGGGCCAGGGAACCGCTTGTTATAATGTCTGGGGATTTACAGCTAATACAAGAACAATATGTACAGGAATTGTTGATAAAACTGAATGGTATATATGGCAATGTTTCTTCGCAGTTTCTCTTACCTTCACAGGAACCTACTCATCCATACCAGCACGGTGACAAGGTGTATATCCATCAGCTGAACAGGACCAAGAAAGGAGGATACCCTTTCGGACCACCTGCTACTGTGATTGCTGTAACCAGAACTGCTGTTCTCACAGATTCCCACGACATCTGGATTCACGCATCCCGAGTGAAGTTGTCCAAAGAGGGGAACCAAGGAAGACAACACCACTCCTCACTCGGATACAGAAGAATTTCCCCTTAGCGAAGCATCATGGCTTTCACACCATATCGTAGATTGAGAGGATCATACGAACCTGAGATCAAGATTATGTTTTGCGCTATGCCTTCTGGAGTTGCTATACTCCCTCTGCTATTGTTCCTTGAATGCTATTATGAGTACATGTCAATGGGAAGTTTGAAACCTATTTGTTTCTGGAGAAAAAACTCTGACATGATGAACAATTCTTCAATACCCCCAGCCCAATTAGGCCTTAGCCCCTCATCTAGCATTCGTCACGCACGCTCCCTCAAGAACCTTTCTCCTCCACCTATCTACCAGCATGTAATATGCAATCACTCATTGACTGAACGCATTTGGATGAATTGGACAAATAATAACCCTTATAAGTACCAGTTACCCATATGGAATGTGTCCACAGCTAATGAAACCGATGCATTATGTTTGTTTGAAGGTTCACGGAAAATTGTTAGATCTTATATCACAGAAATGTGCACAGTTAAGATTGCTAATTACACTAGCATCTGTGCCACCTTATTTAATATAAGTTCTGAGGGTAAGAAAAAAACCACCTCAACAGGTTTGGGATATATATTATAAGAAAATTTGTAAGGTTGCATATCAATGTAAACAGACAGGCCTTATTACTTTTAATAATGATTATACAACTGGTACCATTAATTGGAAAAGGGGACTATATTTTCCCCAAAGATAATATAACATATTCCCTTAAACACTGTGTTCTCACTGACAAAGGATATGTATGTCGACACTCGTCGCCTATTTACGAACCATGCTTACTCCAAAATAAACTTAACAAGTGCATATGGCACATATATCCTGAACATTATTTTACCATGACTGAAATAAGCACACAACATATCTGTTTGGCAACTAACCTCCCTACAAAGATAATTACTAGTAATACAAGTATTAATCTACCTCTCCCCTTTATAGGATGTTTGACTAATGTTACCTGGTTAGATCTTAATGGCACCCAATATTATTTCAGCGACACAATCACTTGAGACAAACATATTAATGCCCTATTAGGCTCTCTGCCTTTTAACAATTACCATTTACCTCTTGAGACTATTGTCTCCTTAATGAAAGGAAAACAAAATATTTTTAAACATTTTGTTACACATAATGATGCAATAGTACACACACAGGTAGCCACACATATCCTAAAAGGAGAACTCCTTAAGGTGAGTTCACAAATTCAGAATGATTTAGCCCATCATTGGTACGATGCTTTTACTGGTTTGTCCCCTACTGGATCCCAGATAATGAAATCATTCTTCTATCCTCTTGTTATTATAGTCCTGATTTTATTGTGTATGATTTTATATAACTGCCACCTTACTTGTACATTGAGGAAGAGAATACAGAAATTAATCCATAATGCAGCAGAAACAATTGGAAATTCTCCTCTCTGCCACTGGAGGGTATCAACCCATCTTTAAAACTGGGCCTTAGGAATTACCACATGGGAATCGAGGTGAAGAAATTAATGAAAGTCCCGCAGGGAGTGACTAGGACCCCTGAAAATACCATGTGGAAGTTTCTCTGTCCTGGGAAGATTTTATCAATAATATGAGCAAAATTTTAGCTCAAAAAGGGGAATGTAAGGATATGAAATAGTTAACTCTTTTTGCTTTATATGCTTTAAAATAATGTTTGAAATAATTATGCTGACCTTGGCAGATGTATTCTGTAACATGGTCTGAGAGGCCTCCCTTCTACAGGATGTATGACGTCGCTCGACCTCAGGATGTTCCTGTCCCGTCTTTATTCAAATGCTTAAACTGTGTATAAATGCTAGCCCTGAAAATATACTCACTGAGAACTTGTTAAGCACTCTTTCGTGTCTGTGTCTTAATTTGCTAAACAAGAACTCCCGTCAATTGATGTAGTGACCGGAGAATCGAGAATCGAGGGGAGTTGAGTCCAGAACAGCATTAACCCTTTCACACATATATACATAAAGGAATTAATATCAACTTAAAATAATAAATAAAGCCTCTAATATATGAGCAATAACCTAAAATACAACATACGGACATATAAAAATATATGTGAAATAAGATAAAACTAACATCTAAAATCTCAGTAGGAGACAGTTATAATATGTGAAACATAGAAGAACAAAGATGGATAGGCACACTGGATCTCTAATATAAATAATACAAAAAAAAAATATAGATATGATCTAATAATGTAAAAAAATAATGTAAAAAAGGGCACAGCTCGCACACCCCTAAGGCCGGCCCTGCCCACGTTGCCACATCAGCCTAGGCAGGCACATCTGTCAAATGTATAACATTAGGTTTGTCAAAGGAGAAATCAGCACATTTCTTTTTTAAACAAAGAAATAACAGTATACATATCTAGCGTCAGGTCTAGTGCTACCTAGGGTAAAGTAGTAGATATAGTGGTTATGAACATATTTAGAAAGTGCCACCCTCGGCATCTCCCTGGGTATATGTGGAACATAACGTACAAATTATAACATAACACGACAATGGCCATTTCATGTAGCTGATATGGGATGTGTGAATAGAAGACGCAATAGCTCTGTATGTCAAGCATAAAACAAAAGATGAAAGCCTGTCTCAATATATTCAGCTAGCTGTGGTGAGGCTTATGTCAAGAAGCTTGTTATGTCAGTCAGCCTATACCAGCTATTGGAATACCACAGTCCCAGTGAGCATTGATTCCCAGTCTCCTGGCTGCAGACATCAGCTGTGAATTTTGGGTCCTCTGGAACTGCCCCCTCTGTATATCAGCTCTCCATGGATCTCTCATGCTTGCAGGTGTCGGCCTGGTCACTGCACTCTTTGCAGCGTGCGTCTGTGGCTTTCGCCTCCGTTGACACACTTTTCCAACTCTGAGAGTTGCTGGTCGGCTACGGATGCTGCGAGGCAGGCTTTCAGGCTCTCTGACAGCTCACATGGCAGGTATGAACAGCCTGTACATTTTCTGCAAGAAGGCTTTGAATATAGTGTCAAGGTTATGGGAAGCAGAGTATATTTCTTTGTAGGGTGCAGGGACATGTGTGGCGTCCGCCATGTTGTGTAAGCCATTGTCGGGTTTGTCATTGGTCGCGGCTTCAAGACATGTGCCAGGTGAAGCCTGGGAAGATCTGCGGTGGGGACTAGTATCACCCTTACCGGTCCAAAGGAGGGGGTTGTGGGGCGCCATGTCGACAACGTCGGTATTTGGCCTGTGCCACAGCACCTTTAGGCGCACTAACGGTGATGCAGGACTTAGGCTGGGCCAGAGACCACTAGGAAGCACTACTAGAACAGTTTGTCGAGTCAGGGTTCCAAATTTGTGTTACCAGCCCCAAAACGAGAGCCCAAAGAGCGGTTTGTCAAGCTTAATCTTCCATACATGAGGAGCTCTCACGTCTCGCATCCTGCCGCCATCAATGTCAGGCCCCGTCCCACTGTCAGGGGTTTTAATGTTGTGGCTGATCAATGTATGTATTCATATAAATGTTGATTTTTTTATGGCCTATAGCTCAGCTCTTGTCAGGTAGAGCCTTCCCTGTTGTGCGTGCGGTAAAACTGATATAGGCATCATGGAACTATCAGATCTATTCCCTTAAAGTGTTAATATCTACTTTGGCCTTAGATTTGAAATTCACTTCAAATTCACTTGAATTCCTAACAATTCTCACTGAATAACCCTGTTAGTATTCCAGACTACCTAATTGACAGTCTTTTTGGACTGCTGCTGTAAGCAGTAATACAGATTGCTTTTAGTGATTAGACCCATGAAAGAGTGGTTCTTGAATATTTCACCATGTAGTTTATACCTCGACATGGCAATATCCTGCTTAGTGCACCACTGTGATACATTTCTGTTTGTGATGCCCATTAGCAATGGTTGTATACTAAATACTCCTTGTTCATTAGAGCTTCTATACCTTTATACATTTTCTCCACCAAATTGCACCAAATCCAATTACTGTCAGCAAACATCCTGCTCAGATAATCCACTCTGAGATCATCTTTACCTCAAAAGATGACTGCATCAAAACAGCCTTAGTGTAATTTTAGCTGTATCATGAAAGTAAAGGCTAACCCATATTCCATCCAAGTATGATATAAGCTTGCAGGAAGTACCAACTCTACCTTGTATAGCAGTTTACCTCTGTTTGTCAAACTGAGTTTGCAGTAGCCTTTAATGGGATGCTATAGTGTAAGAAATACAAAGTTGTATTCCTTACACTATACTGCTCTCTGCCCCTCCCCCTCCCCCAAGCCCCTGCTATCCCCTCTAACCCCACTGCCCACAGCATTGAAAAGATTAAAAAAACCTTTGTTTAGTCACCCAATACCAGCATCGATCTCCCCTGGTGCTGGGCCGCCGCTCTGCCTCCACCATTAGGAAAGCATTGCTTCAGTGTTTTCCTATGAGGATTTTACTAGCACTGGATTAAATTCTACAAATATATTTATATAATATTTTTACATAATCAAGTCATTTTATTAATTATAATTTGAGGAACCTGCCCGACAACCCAGGCTGAAAGTTCAGAGAATTTGGCTCTCAAGCCCTGTACTTAACCCTGTAACTTTTTAGGACACCATAAAACCTGAACATGGGGTACTGTTGTACTCAGGAGACTTCAACCCATCATTTCTGTAAGCTTTCTTGTAATTGTCCTATTTATAGTTAAATCCCCCCTCTAATAATATTGTAAAGCGCTACGGAATCTGTTGGTGCTATATAAATGGCAATAATAATAATAATAATAATAATAATAACACAAATATTAGCGCTTAAAAACAGTAAAACATATCACAATGATGACATTGTCAGTAAAAATTCCTTTTTATTGCACTTTTCACACAAAAGCGGTATTTCCACTGGCGATATAATTGTTGTGAAATGTTTTTCTATTTTGAAACACTAATATTTGTGTTCGGCGAAGTCTCCCGAGTATAACAGTACCCCCCATGTACAGGTTTTATTGTGTTTTCAAAAGTTACTGAGTCAAATATAAGGCTTGAGTTTCCTTTTTTTCCACATTGAAATCTGCCCGATTGATAATGTTACTTTTGAGAAGTAGCCCCATGATGGCATACCATTTCCAAAAGTAGACAACCCAAGGTATTGCAAATGGGGTATGTC